ATGCTTTTCGGCATCAAATCAACAGACGTAATACTTCTCAAGAGATTTAAGTGTTGAATACAGTCATAATTTTATAACAGTCAAACCATCCGACTTGGACATAATTTTATACGAAGCGTCTGAACAGCACTCAGGGTGGTATAATTAGCATCAGTATCAGGTCTGTTTTATAAGAGAACATGGACGTAATCGCCAAGATATCAGCTGCCTTATGATGCGAGGTATCGACAGACTGTATCGCCCCGATAACAGGCCGGGGTCTTTACTATTATATGAAGTCTTCAAGGTTAAGAAATCTCAAGTGACGAAGGTTAGCGGTAAGACAGTCGGACTCATAATCGTGAGATTGTGGGCTCGGGGGCTCAAGGATCAGCTTGGTTAATAATAATAATAAAAGACATTTATAGAGCGCTCAACCCTGAATAAAGTACACAGGCTCTGAGCGCTTTACAATACAGTACAACGTACAACAGTAACATAAAATGTTGTGTTCTGGCTAAAAGAAAATCACTCCAAATATTCATCTTACTTTTGACTTTTTCTTTCCTCCGCCACTTGCACCCGTTTGGGTATCGCGGGAAAATATTTATTTTTTACATTTAAAAACAGAAATGACTTCAGCTGACAAATAATTAGAATGAGTTTAAAGATTTGATCTCTCTTAAAGTACTTGGCAAATCATTCCTTGGGGCCTTGATATACAAATACATTTCTTTTTGTCAGCTGAAGACCTTAAACTGCGAGTTGGAAGGTACAGTCTTTAACAGATTTGATTTTAAAAAATAGGGTGCATTATCATTCAAGCATTTGTGACATAGGGTGGCCAACTTGTACACAATGCTTTCCCCAAACGGGAAGCCAGTGCCATGTCCGTAAAAGAGGTGCAGCAGGTTTCGTCCGACGTTGTGTCTTTGTAAAACTCTACACGGATTGTCCGATTCTGGCTTGGTCCTTCCGGAGATGAAAAAGATTCTGAACTGGAAAGGGTTAATAAACGCATATCTAAACAGTGTTACAAAAACTCCAAGTACCGTACAGGGAAAATATGAGGTAGACCAGCTGGGCAAAAATGCAGATGAACAACAATTAGGTAGCAGTGCAATATGTAAACATATCTGTTTCGATCACAACGTCTCTGTTAAAATGCAAAATGTAAACATACTATCTTTATCAAGAACAACAACTGGGTAGACGTGCAAAATGTGAACAGATTATTTTTATCAAAATGCAGCACAAATGAGAGGGTTATTGAGGTAAAGCATACACAGGAGTTATGTAATCGAAGTTGTCTGTGTGAGCAAGGTTCACTGGAGCCACGTGACGAGAGTGAGTTCTCAGACATCCGTGGTTGGTGTTTCAGGTGTCTGTGGTGGAGCCGTTAGGTGCTTCGCTGCCACACGACGGAGACAGGAGTTCGATTCTTGTGGGGAAAAAAGGGAGGGGGGTTAATATTTTAGGAGTATTTCGCCGTTCCTTCTGCTTGAATGTTGTATCCCTCTCCACCAATGTTTGCCATGATGAGCAGTGTCGAAGTCCATCTTCTAAATTATCTAAATGGTGTCGATAAGGGTATAAAAACACCTGCATTGAAAAAAGTTGATATTTTTTTCCGCATCTTGTCTTAGAGACAATACAACGCTGTCTGTTGATTGGTTTGTTGCTTCTGTCCACGGGATCGATCTATTGATCTGTCTGGACAAACAGAGAGGGAGATGGCCGTATCAGATAACCGAGTTCTGGAGAGGAAGAGGACAGGAAGGAGACGGGGTGGGGGTCGGGGGGACACAGACAGTGTGAGCATATTGAAGGAGTAGGCAACACCACTGGATACCTGCCACAAGGGAAGTCAAAGCAGAGACAATGTTGACCACAAAAACAAACAGCACGTGGACATGGTTGCTGGTGCCTCAAAAGATGAATTATTGATGGACCACTACAGACAAAGGATCGTGGTCTTGATATTAAGGTGTTCGCTTTCTCATTCAAAGGTTCCGGGTTCAAATCCGTGTAGGGACGGAAACATTTTCTTCTCTAAAACTGTCTCCTTTCACCTCCTTTCTACTGCTACTCCTTGGCTACTTCTTACTACTGTTTTTCAGCCACACCCCTGATCTTCTGGTAGGAAAGATCTACAGATAGCCTTCTAGGACAAGGGCAAAAAATCTCTCAGGTCCCGTGTGCAAGTTGCACACGTTAAAGATCCCTTGGTGGTCTAAAATAGATAAGAGGAGGCTTCGGCCGCCACTCGGGGAAAAATTCAAAATTTCTTACCAACTGAAAATGTTTGGTGTGTCCCTCGCGCTCAAATGACCTTATGCCGTTGTGAGCGCCGTAAAACATTTACAAAAAAAACCCAACCCCCCCCCCCCCCCAAGGAACTTGATTAAGAGTTTATATTGGGCGGCTGGCGATGTTGTTAATCCCATAACTTGTCATTTACAACACAGACAGTGAGCCCCGATGTCGCTATGGTTGTGGTGAGAGTCCACTATAACCTCCC